CCTGCGTATTGCAAATCGGCATGTCACTGCAAATTTTCAAGGAAAAAAAAGGACGTTTAAGGGGCGAAAAGCAGTCTGAAAAAATGACGTCATAGCCGATACATGTTAGATTCGGGCGGAAACTCGGCGGAATTCGTGTAGTGACCTTTGTTCAAATGCGATTTACTCACAATTTTCAGTGTGAACATATACTATACTTGGTATCATTCGAAAGGGCACTTCATTGCGGTCAGTTTGACACCATTATTATCTGCGCGCAATGTATTGCACGCATTAAACGCGCTATTACGTAATGCATAGTAAATTCATCATTTTTGGCGATTACTTTGCGCTGACATATTCGAATTTTACCAAACTTGGCGGACAGTTGTCACGTATATGGATACATATGTCTGCCAAGTTTCATTGATGTAGGTATAAAGATCGCTAATTTAGAGCAATTTGAAGTTATTTCTCAATTTTCTTGAAAATGGCGAATTTGGAGGGCATTTTTCGCAAAGTCGGTCAGTGTTAGGGTATATAATTTTGTATATGGCTGGAAAGGGCATATCTTCAAGTATCTAAATCCAAAAAAGGGTACGGGTTTGCCAAGCCATTATGGAGATACGGCCACAGACAGAAAGCCAATTCCCAGAACTTTAGAGGGCGCTATTTATGTTGTGCAAAGCCATTGGAGCGTGAAATTTGGCATGGCTATGTGCAATTATGAGATAAAGATACTGTAAGATTTAAATACAAAACGGAATTTATATGAGAAAGTTATGGCAGTTTTAGATTATTTAGGGGTCCATTTTTCAAGAACTTGAGAGATTTTTGACGGAGTCGGTTTTAGATTTGAATTTCGAGTATGAAGATGGCATTTTGAAGGTCAAGTCATGTGTCGCAAATGAAAGAACATCTCTCAGACTATCTAGAGGAATTTGTTAGAAGTTTGTAGGATCTAGGATAGTGGAGATAGGAAGGAAGATATAAAGGCCTTAAAATGGACCAGAAACGGACAAAATGGCGCTTGGACGGTCATGCATGAGTGATTTCCAAAATCGAAGAATGTAGTGACCTTGATGAGATGTTAGAGACCATGCCTATGAAATTTGAAAGGAAAAGGACATGAGAAAAGCACCTAACTAGGAGTCACAAACACTACGTGCTAAACGAATGCGATTTCCAGACGATAAGGATAAGGATAAGGAAAAGGAGAATATTAATGGGGCAGAATGTGAACGAAAACAAGGCAATGACGAAGGTCGTCATTGCAAAAAATGACACCTGTGACAAACACGTTCATAAGTTTTAATAAAAAAATCAACCCTTTTACATGCCTGTCCTCTGCTCATGCGCGTAATTTAAAGGTAATACAAATTTTTGGTATGGGGTCGTGAATTTGGTTCAAATGAACATATTGGAAGCATATGCGATCCGACAATATTCAGTAATCGTTGTCGTGGTTGAAATTGAGTTTAAAATTATGAAATTGTAAATAATAAACTCTATGGCCCGAATTCACAAAGGTTTGTCGACAAACCTAGGTTTTTGTGCGTCATATGACGCGTTTTGACGCGTTTTAAACCTAGGTTTGTACTTTTCGACAAAACTCCTTTGTGAATTCGGGCCTTCATGTTGTATAGCTCCCTCCCATGATCAAGATATTAATTAAGCCATAAAACAATGTTTCTTGACTAAAATCGACGGATTGCCTATTTTCGTTTGGTAATCATATATCACAACTACATATTCTGAGATGTTCATGGTCGCAGCTATAAGCGCTATTTGGATATTCAATTTTACTTGAAAGCAGAAGTGTTTTAGGGGCTACATTTTCTAGCGCTTAAAATACATCCATAGGGGCATCCAAATATATCAAAATTGTAAAGAATCACTATCTAGCCAATTTTCAAAATTTCCCAAAACTTTGTATTACCTTTAACATTAACGTACACGAATATAAGGTTCGTAACAGATTGGTTGAGTGAGTGATTGATTGGTTGATTGGTGGCTGTTTGATTGGTTGATTGATTAATTGATTAGTTGGTCGCAGTCATCGGCGGCAATAGTCCGGGTAGTTGTTCTGATCTCAGTTTTAGATTATGACATTACGTATCGTAAGAAAGTACAACTCTTGTTCCTGCGACATTATTTTGTTCCGTTATAATTTCCTGCTACATTAAACAAATTCCTAACTTCAACCTTTGACCCAACGCTATACCTAACCTTCAGTTTCAGTTCAGTTTCAGATTTATTTTTCATTTCCAACAGAACAGTAATTATAACAAGAAATCAGATATACAATTCAACATTCAATAATATAATACATTTTACATGGTTTAACCCTTACCCTAACCCTAATCTAAAACCCAATCGCGACCCTAACCCTAACCTTATTATACTTCTGACGAACCTAATCCAGGAGCAATTGTCGCCCTACCAATTTAATGTCGGGACGCCGCATCGTATTTTGTTTTGTTTGCTAAAGAAGACAGCGTTCCAATTACTGAACAAAGTCCACGCACCCTCGAACACCAGAAACAAAAGTCTTCATCGTTAAATATAATTCAAGATCGGTTTTTAGGATACAGGACAGAAGACGCTTTGCGGTAGGATAGTAGATCTGCATGGTTGGGTTTTGGAAGTATTGATAGCAAGCTAGAAGAGGGTCAAGACGGTGTCAGGATGGGCTTTAATATCAGAAGGAAGATTGGAGAGGAATGGGCAGATGCTAAGTTCACGTAAGTCTGAGATCTTCTCCCCACTTATGTAGTTCTGAACTTTTTCGTAATTATTTAGGTAAATCTTTTGGGGTTCTTTTCACAGGGACATGATGTGTTTCGTTGCGTGGTATAAACTGGTCCGCTTTGCTGCTGATTTGTTTTTTAATATTCACTTTCTCGCGACATCTCTATTTGAATACAGATAAAAGATCATCTTTCTAAAGTTCTACCCTCCCCTCTCACTCTCTTTCTCCCCTCTTCCTCCTACCTTTCATTCCTCTCCCATATCTTCGATTTTCAAATCTCTCATGCTCTCGCTCCCTTTCTATCCTAGCTCCCTTTTCCCCAATATATCTCTTTGTTTTGTTTGCATCTCTCTTTTATCCAAGAATCTTTACCTCACTCTGCGTTTTTCGGTTCTATCTGTTTGTCTATTCAAAATAATATAGACTGTTATTTCTTCCTCCCATGAATGTCTGGCTCCATTTCGAGTTTTTCGACGATTCTATATAGGACAACTAAACTCCACACCTCTAAAATAAATCTGGACAACTACCCCTATAGGACGATTCCGGCAAAAATATCCTGGAGAATTACGACCTAGGATAGCTCTACCCTAATAAAAGCGAATATCATTATAATTCCTCCATGTATTATGTAGTATTCAAGTTCACCCACTTTATATCGAAACTTTTTTGATGTAGCGATGTCATACTACATGTATTAAGCTTAAACAAAATGACGTTAAAATTGTTACATACAGCTTCATCAGCTTTCATTTGCCTTTTATATCTTTCCAAAGCCGTACTATTGTTTAATTATTTGTTTCATCCTGTTATGATCGATCTTTTTTGAAGCCCTCAAATTTCAGTGCAGTGTTTGTGTTTTTGCTGTAAATACTTGGTATTATACTTTTTATTTTGCCCTAATCCAGTAGCCTTTAATCTTCAACTAATAACGGCAAACAAGATTTAAACAATACAATGTAACGAAAATTCGAATTAAATAAAAGTCAAAAGTGAATTAAGAAAATGAAAAAAGATGGACAAGCTTCGTAAGTGGACAAAAGAGGTTTTATAACATACAAAGGCTATGCTTATGACCATGTTATATCATTGCATTTATGGCTTCTACGAGGTAAAAAGAAGGGGGAAAACGTGACATAATTTTCTTAGTTGATCATAAACGATCATTAAGGATCATAAATGGTTTAATTGCTCTGATAAGATTGGGTTAATAATTAATTCGGAAAGGTTAAGTGGTTTACTCGTTATTTTGCCTTGCATACAGCATTAAGGAACGGACACCATATAAAATCATTATCGATGACTTGATGGTATTGTATTATTTAGAACTCAAAGTTCATAATTCTTTATCTCTCCGGCCAAAAGTCATATAGTATTGTTCATAATATTTTTTTCCCATTTACGAAAATCTTAATTCAAAAGCTATCACTTCGTTTTTCTTTTGTTATTGTGTCACAGCTCAGAATGATTGGACAAATATATGTTTTTATATCTGTGTTTTTTAATGATAATGTCACTCATTGATCATTGTGCAATCATTCCACACGTACGGATGGTTAAAAAGGGGGAATTTGAAAGAGGAAAGGCGAGAGATGAAGAGAAAAAGGGGGGGGGGCGGCAAACATGGATGCGAACTAAAGATGATACGACCCCCTCCCGCAACTCGGTGGACTTAGTCCTCGCATTTTTCATTCCCCGCCCCGCCCGAATACCTCAGTAATCATTTTAACCGCGGGACGTATATTTGTTCGTTAGTTTGTTTTATTTATTCACCATGTAAAATAATTGTTTACAGGTAATGACATTCAGTGGGTTACATCGAGATATACAGTGCATAAACAAAAAAATGTTCAAAGCGCAACGTCCCTAAGAATACATAGTTGATAATTATTAGGTAAATGGCTTTAAAATATGACATTCGGTCATCACAAAAATAAAAATAAATACAAACTCATGTATTTGAATAACAAGCAAAAACAAGGAAATACACATTACCTTTTCTTGACAAAACTAGCGCCATAAAAAATGTACCTCAAAAGTCAACAAGCATTTTGAGAGAAATAATTCTACCCCACTGCTCATAACATTTGTTAGAATGACCTTTCTTCAAGTTTAACAAAACCTGGTATTAATATTACATTACCACTTCACATTAAATAAGGTCGATTCGAAATCAGTATATGTAATTTTTGCAACCTGCGTTTTACTTTTTCATCCATTATTATTATCAATTTCTTTATAAACTGCTCATTTTAAAGACATACGTACCCTAATTACTCCTGAGGTTAAACACAATTATAATTATGCAATAATTTACTCATTAGCTTATGTTAATTTATTTGACAATGTGTATAATTTCATTGTAGCACATTGTTATTCATATATTTTTTGTATCAGGCTCTACAGTTTTTTGTAAATTATGTTCAACATTGTTATCAATCTTTTTGTACTTTTATTTTTATTTGAAATCCAACCTTAAGTTTTGGTTGGAATAAAGAAATAATTATAATAACCAGATCAAAACTACATTTGACAAAATTAGTCCGAACGTATAAAATTAAGAGGGCCAAATACTAATAAAATGGAAACTATATATATATATATATATATATATGAGAAGGGTATGTCTCATGAGCTCCTATCAAAAATACAACGTTTCCAGAAATGTTTGAATATTTTTTTCTTACATACCCTTTGTCACGAAATAATTGTGACATATTTATATATTCTCCAGAGATAAAGTGTATGTCTTCTCAGAACTTTATTGATCAGTTCTGGGAAGATTATGAATTTCATATATCAAAACTGAATTGTCACTATTATTTTCTTGAACAGAGGAAAGAAAAATCTGTTCCAACTTGAAATTCAAAACAAAAAGTCTTTTTTAAAAGCTCACTGTCATTCTTATTTGACATACTCAACAAAAGTTGAAAAACTTTTAAAAATACAATACTTGTATCGTTATTGCAGGTGTACTGAGTGCTTGTCTTCTCCCCCCCCCCCCCCCCCTCCCCCCTCGGCTGTCTTGGATGTACCTCAGTATTTTAATCCTTTTACCATGCCTGATTGACTTTATGACAAATAGGAAATTTGTGAAATATAACAGCTCATGTTTTTGTTGTATTTTTGATAACTTGTGCCATGTGTTTATGGTTTTTAATTACACAGTCTAAGTCCTATTTTTATATTGCTAGGTTTTTACATGTATATATCTCATTGGGCATAACATGTAAACAAGAATATTCCAGCCATG